TCGCTTCTAAAACTCTCTAAACAAAAAAGGATAACGAAGCGTAGTACCAATGCCAACTAATTTCTTTCTTGCGCTAACTAACTAACCAATAAATTCATATCAAAATATTTATATAGATATTTTGTGGTCATGTGATTCAAAATATGTAACACAAAAATATTAAGAAAAACCGTCTCTGGAACGGGATAAACAATTAGTTTTTGCTGTTAATGATAATATTAATGTTCATCATTATTAGAGAAAGGATAATATTTGATATTGATGTAAATTATTAGCAGAAGAGGCAGTCTTTTGAATCAGATAAACACTTGTCGTTGTTCATCAATATTTGAAATGAACGAACACTTTGTTGTCGTAATTATTGTTCATCATTATTAGCCGAAGCTATTTTTGAGCTGAGTTTTCTCGTTTTCATTTTTAACCATATTATTATTCACAACTCTCAAAATGACTTGATTTCTTTTCAGAAGTTTTCTTGTGGAAAACGTTTCTAAATTTGTTGTTCCTATTCCTATATACTAAAATTAGGTTTTATTATGTAACAAGGAAAAGAACTGCTCTATATGTAAATCTTCGATTGAATTTTATTTGAGTGTCATTAATTGAACAAACAATAATAAATAGCACACTATATATGTATATACACAAATAATAACAAGATCTTCATTTAGTTATGATCATCCTCATGTTCAAAGAAAACATTCACCTTTCCAATTCTAAACGTTAGGTGAATATTATCTTCATATTAATTGAAATTTAACCGATGCTTCCAACAAAAGTAATCTGGAGGTAAAAAAATATACAAGGTCATTTGTGGAATATATTCTGAGAAGCTGGACATTCTATTTAATATTAAATATTTAGAAAGCCCATTACCATATTTAGTTTATTTGTTTGTTACTTTACAATGGTTGTTATATAGTAAAGTGGTTGTACCAATAATTACATGAATATGTTTACATCTAAATTACTAAAAAAGGTATAACGAAATGTAATAAATGAATTCGATTTATTAATTCAAAACATTAATTAATCGTAAATATAAATACCAAGGTACATTCTGACGTAGTGCCGAGCCAATGAACGCGTGCGGGTGGTTCACAGAAAAATTAATAATATAATAATATGATTATTATTTATAATTGATTCGAATTCAAACAAAGCACAAAATAAAGTCACATATAAAAAGAAGAGGTTCTGACTTTTTTTTTGTTTTGAAACTCTCGAATATCCTTTTCGATTCCATTAATTCCAACGTCCATTAATTCATAACATTCGTTAATTCCAACGTCCGTTAACTCATAACATTCGTTAATTCCAACATTCATTAACTCATAACATTCATTAATTCCAACATTCATTAACTCATAACATTCATTAATTTCACATTCATTTAATTTTAATATCGTACAATGTATTCTCCTTCGCTCTTAAAAATTTCTTTTGCTATTTTTATTTTTTGTATTTTGTTATTAAGTGTTGAAGCACACTACCATCATATCGTAACCAGAACCTTGACCAAAACCGAGACCGAGTATAAGACCAGGACCAAAACCGAGACCGAGTATAAGACCAGGACCAAGACCAAGACCAAAACCAAGACCAAAACGAACTGCGCAAAAACTGTAACTAAAACCAAAACTGTGAATAAACCCAAAACCATACTTGTGACTAAAACCCCCTCAATTTGTCCCATAACAACTGAAACTACAACTGAGACCATAACTACACCCACAATTACAACAACCACGACTACAACTGACGCTGCAGCTGATACTAAAACTATAACCGACACTGAGACTAAAACTATAACTGACACTGACACTAAAACCATAACTACACCCACAACTATAACTGACACTGAAACTTCAACTATAACTGACGCTGACAAAACTATAACTGAAACTTCAACTATAACTGACGCTGACAAAACTATAACTGACACTAAAACTATAACTGACGCTGACACTAAAACTATAACTGACACTGAAACTATAACTGACGCTGAGACTAAAACTATAACTGACACTGACACTAAAACCATAACTACACCCACAACTATAACTGACACTGAAACTTCA